AAAATAATAAAATATATATATAAAAAAAAAAACACTGACCAAAAGCAACTTGGGAATGAGTTTATATGGCTTAGTTCTAGGATATGGTCCATCACTGAGAGAGGTCAAGGCAGGAACTTGAAGGCAGGCTTGCTGTTCCATGTAACATTACCTCCAACCAAGGAACTCACTTCATAACCAAAGAAGTGCTACAGGAACAATGGAGGATATTGCTGGCTGGCTGGCAGGCTTATGCTTGGCTAGCTTTCTTACACAGTTCAGGACCACCTACTTAGTGAATGGTGCCACCCACAGTGGCCTTCCTACATCAATTAACAACCAAGACAATCCCCCAATCCAGACTTGTCCACAGGCCAATCTGAACGAGTAAATTCCTCTACTGAGATTCTCTTCCCATAATTCTAGGTTGTGTCTAGTTGACAGTCAAAGCTAACTGGGACATGAATTGTTTTGGTTTTTTTTTTTGGTCTTTTTGAGACAGGGTCTCCCTGTAGCCCCAGCTGTCCTGGAACTCACTACGTAGACTAGGCTGTCCTTGAATTCACAGAGATCCGCCTGCCTCTGCCTCCCAACTGCTGCGATTAAAGGCGTACACCACCATGCCTGACTATGAATTTTGTTTTTTATCAGTTGCCGAGACAAGTATTGAAATCCTCACTATGATGTGCTTGTCTAATTCTCACTCCAGTTGTGAGGATTTTACTTCATGTATCTTGAAGCTGTTATTAGGTATACTATTCAGGGTACTATGTTCTTGATAAACTAACCCTCTTGTTTCTATTATTCCTTCTTTGGTAGTAACATATTTTGTTTTTGTGAGACAATCCTGCTGTCATCCAAGCTGCATTCAAATTATCTTCCCGACTCAGCTCTTGAGTAGTTACCAGTTTAAACTTTTTCTTTTTTTTTTTTTTTTTGGCCAGGGTCTCACTATGTAATCCTGACAGATCTAGAACTCTGGCCTCAAACTCACAGAGATCCACCTGTCTCCACCTCCTATGTGCCAGGATCTTTTAAAGGTATTCACCACTTTACTAACTTTTACATCTTGTCTTTATAAGTTTTCTTAGGAGCAACATATACATGGGCTGTGCTTTTCTAGCCAATGTGACGATGTTGGCTTTTAGTTGGAGCACTTGGAACTTTATTCAACTGAGCATGGTAGCCCATGCTTCTTAGCACTCACCATGATGAGGCAGAATGTAAATTCAATGGCAGCATGGAATACACAATGAAACCTTATCTCAAAATCATCAATTGGACTGCTCTTCACCAGTCAGAAGCTCAGTGCCCAACGGGCCACAGTCTTAACTTGGAATCATGTTACGCACTACAGTCAAACGTAAAGTGAAAATGCATGTGCAAAAATAAACACAAAGCAAAACCTGCTACTATAGAGGGGGGAAAATTAAATGGTTGGCTTTAAATCTATCTCGTCACTGGCTTTTTATTTCCCTTGTCTGTTCTTTCCCCACCCGCTCTTGGATTTTACTTCTTTTATTCATCTATTGGCTATCCCTCTTTACTTTTTTAAAGGGTTCACTGTAGGGTTTACATTAGCCATCGTTTACTCATCATGGTCTACTTTTAAATAATACACCAATTTGTCATGTGATGCTTCACTCACACTACATACTTGCTTCCAATTATCCCTCCATTCCTTTTCTTATAGCCGACACATCTTTTTATGTGTTCATACATCTAAAAAAAAAACATTGTTTTTAAAAGTCAGTTATGTTTTTAAGATTCTTTTTTTCAGTAAAGCCTCTTATACTTGCCACAATACCAGGCATTTTTGGTATTCTTTACTTGTTGGTGAGGATGTCTCCACTTTGTATCTTTCCCTTCAACATGACTGAACATTTCTGTAAGGGAACCCACTGAAGAGCTCTTTCAATATTCGTTGATAAAGTCTGTTTTGCCTTCTTTTTTGTTTCCTCTAAAAATGAAATTTTTCAGTTGACCGCTTTTCTCCTCCTTTCAATGTATTACCTTGCAGCTGAACCTTTCTTTGCTCACTTGAATATGGTGTCCAAGCTTCCTCATGGAAGGATGGCACTAGAAGATGCCTGAGATCCATGTCTTTTCTGCTTGATTTGAGACTTTGCTCATCATTGGCTGTCACCAATTTCATGAAGCGCCTTGAAACTGGTTTGTTAGTGTATTTATTTACTTTGCTACATTCACCAGCCTCATGGATCTATGGACTTACATATTTCATCAAATTTAGAAGATGTTTGGACATGATTTAAATGTTTTTCTAGGGGCTAAAGAGATGGCTCAGTGGTTAAGAGTGCATACTGCTCTTGCAGAGGACTTGAATTCGATTCCTAGCACCCACATGGGGTGGCTCACAACTGCAGGTTACTCCATCTCACAAGGGATCTGCTAAAAACTAAGTCTTAAATGTTTTTCTTCTCCTTCCTTGTGTCTGGGATTCCAAATACATGTGTTCTAGAACACTCAATGTTATCTAACAAGTCACTGAGGTTTTCTTCCCCCAAGCCTTCTGACCACCTGCACTCCTCTCTTTAAGGGGTCAAGGACCTTGTTGTGCTTCTCCCTAAGAATCAGAGGGACACACACTGGAGCAGACCTCAGGCTTGCTGGGTCTTAAGGGGCCTGGTTGTAGGACAAATGTCCAAGGTTGCTCAAAAGCATGCTGTCCTCCTCAGATCATGAACCTCTGACATCCTCTAGGTATCACTACCCCCGCAAGGGAAAACTGGAAACCACAGTTTCATTAAACAAGAAGTTATCCCTATAGTCCCATCTGCCAAAGTAAAAAGAAGTCTCAAGCCAACACCAGAAATCTCCAGGGAAAATGACAGCCAGGAAAGTCACACATTATTGAGGAAAAAAGGTCAAGCACTGGTGTAAGTTGCCTGATAAAGTCACTCAAGTCTCCAGAGATGTGTCTTTGGTCTTGGTGAGAGGTACTGTGAAGAACCTTAGGGAATCTGAGGATGGCCTCCTTCCTTAGTCAGTGAGAACGTATTCCTAAACTATAGCAAGTTTCCTCTTCAGCTGCTGCCTAGGTCACCTCCTTTCCAGATATTTGGCACATATTACATGTGTTGACCTCCATCTCATCTAAATTCCATGCCCATATTTCTGTCTATATGTTCTAACCTTAATTCCTTTTTTGAAACAAATTGAAGTATAAATAATTTATAACGTGCCGGGTGTGGTAGCGCACACCTTTAATCCTAGCACTTGGGAGGCAAAGGCAGGTGGATCTCTGTGAGTTCAAGGCCAGCCTGGTCTACATAGCGAGTTCCAGGACAGCTGGGGCTACAGGGAGACCCTGTCTCAAAAAGACAAAAAAAAAAAAAAAAATTATAACGCAGATGTAGAGATGAAAATAAATCAAGCTGATTGATTATATATATGACCATATAGTAGCAACTGCTGAAAAATTAGAGAATGAGAAAACAGATTATGGCACAGATTTATAAAAAAGAAAACATCTGTCTAAATGAAACTTAACATAGCAATGAGCTATATTTCAGAAGGGAAAAAATACTGTCACAGGTAAGTTTCTAAAGTCAGCATTTCAGGAGGGCATGGCAGCACATGCCTGTGATCCTGGCACGAGGTCTAAGTTTGAGGTCACTCTGGAGTACATACTGAGTACCAGGTCATCCAGGGCTAGAGTAAAATTGTTTCAAAAGGGGGGGAAAAAAAGTCAAGCATTTCCTACTAAAGAATCCCTCAAATTATCTGAAGTTTACATCCTAGTGAACAAAGACCTAATATGGCTCCACAGGAAAATTTGTCCCTAACAACCAAAAACAATTTAATTTCAAGAATCTGTAAGGACTCTCTTCAGACAGAGGTCTTAAGAGACCTGGTTGTTTGTGAGTGCTTGTCCCTGTCTCTCTGCACAGCCTGGAGACAATCACTGAACTAGGAATGGTACCTCACGCTGAAAACTCTGTAGCATAATTGGTCCCCAGGACAAAATGATAAAACAAGCATGTCACACTTCTGAGATTGACATTATCCTGGTCTACATAGCAAGTTCCAGGCCAGCTATGGCTACAGAAAGACTCTGAATCCAAAAATAAAACAAACAAAAAACAATAAAAAACCTCTATAGCGTAACTTTGTCCCCAGAATAAAACAAAACAAATAGCATGGTTCCACCTACAGGGATCAAATGTGTTTTTTGTTTATCCTTTTTGGAGACAGGGATTCCCTGTAGCCTCAGCTGGCCTGGAACTCAAAGAAATTCACCTGCCTCTGCCACAACAGTGCTGGGATTCAAGGCGTGTACCACTATGCCTGGCTCAAATGTCTGTTTATTCAGGGAGCTGGTTATATCTGTGGCTGTATTTCATACACTGGTCCAGGCAGACTAGGTGTTCCCAGGGACTGCTGCTGCTGCTGCTGCAAGCAGATCTAGTGATTCACCACCTGTTCTGCTGCTGGCAGAGGCTGAGGGATCAGGGCAGTGAATAGCACAGGTTATGGTCTAAGACAGAAGAGCCCCAGGGGTGATAGCACATGACAGGGGCTAGGGAGGGTGCTGGGCAGGAGGCAGATGGCACAAAACCTCAGGGACCCTGTGCAATGGCAAAAGGCAGCCCTAGAGTGTCCTGGTAAGGAGAAAGGGATCAGGAAGTGTGGTTTTGTCTCCCATTGGCTCCAAGTATTTGGACATTTGTCCCCAGTTGGTGGCGCTGTTTTGAGAGGTTTTAGGAGATGCAGCCTTGCTAGATGAAGCGCATCACTGGGGACAGGCTTTAGTTCTTAAGCCTTACCAAATTTCCAGTCTTGCTGTTTCCTGTGCCTGCTTAAAAATGTGAGTGCTCAGTTTTCTGCTTTGGACAACTCTACTGTCATGCCTCCCCCACCATTATGGACTCCCTCTGGAACCTTAAGCCAAACTCTTCCTTCTATAAGTTGCTATGGTCATGGTGTCTTATCATAAAAACAGAAAAGTAATAGAGTGGTACCAGGTGTAGCTCTCTAGAGCTTGTCAAAGACGATGGGCCAGGAAGAGGCTGGGGCAGCCACCAGTCCAGGGAGCAGCAGACCAAGAAGTTATCTATCTGGGCTCTGACCACCATGGCTGAGAAGAGAGGATGTAACCTCAGGAAGTCTCATATTTCCTATCCTGAGCTTTGCCTATATGCAGGCCAGACCACACAAAGTTTGAAGCCAGAAGGAATTCAGTTTACCCCAAGAAGTATCACCTTGGAAATTTTGCCCTCACTTGAACTCATAGCACAGATGACATGAGAGCTGAAAAATGGCCTTTTGGGTGCCCTGGGCATTTTTCTAGGTCCCACGGGTGCCATGACTGCCTGGCTGGCTCAATGGGTCTAAGTCGTGAGTGGGATGTGGTCAGCTGTCCCTGCTACAGTGGTGTCCCATAGTAGTAACCACAACTGACAACTATTCTACCCTTGTTATCTATACTTGGCTTCCCATGTGTGCTTCTGTCTCAACAGGATGACTGCAAAGTCTGGAGACCAGGATGCTGGCATACCACAAATGTATGTAGTGCACTATGTGTGAGCTTACAATCTAAGGACAGAATTGGATGTTACACCTGGTTCCTTACCACACAGCCTCAGGATGCTCCAGGATGAAATGTCTGTTTATTAAGGGAGCTGATCACTTAAGCAACTTTTAGTGACATTTTCAGTGTGAAATGAGTCTGCATTTCCTTTCTGGAAAGCTTCTATTTCATACAGTGATCTGGTCATGACTGGGAGTTTCTGGGGACTGCAGCCATTGCTCAGGGCACAATGACCAAAGGCCCTATCTTCCTCCCCAATGAGCTGTTCTCTTCACATGCCAGCATCATAGGGGCCATACCTCCCTCAGTCCAGCATGAGAAGTCTGGTTCGGGGCCCACTCCACAATAGCACAGGACAGGAAGTGAAGTGGCCAACTGCGCCCCTTGCTAGGACAGTTATTGGTTATAAAAACCCTCTAGCCTTACTCCCTCAAAGACCTACTCAGGAGTTGCAGAGTGCACTGTGCCTCTTCAGATGCCAGGATTCATTTCCCTTCCTCACCCAAGCTAGTCTCAGAACTAAACCTATGACAAATGTCTAAAGCCACCAAACCTGACCCTGTCCCGAGCCTCATGTCTACAGAAATAGAGAACAAAGGCTGGAGCAGGGATAAAGGGGCTTCCACCACCTAGTCAAAACTCTCAGGTCTCACCAAGACCTGTGTGATACTGATGCCCACCAGCTGCAGCACAGATAGGCATGCTTTCAAGGGTGGCCAGCAAGGGTCCTCTCAGGGTACAGGTTAGAGAAGCGGCCCAGGGCCCAGATGGGAAAGATGTTCCTATAGCTCGTGTAGCTGATGGCACAGGTTTTGTTGAAGACCCCGGAGTTGTTCTCCTGAAAAGACACAGAGAAATGACCATAAAGACCCCAGCAGGCAGCTAAGGAACCTGTCCCTGAATGAGGGTCTTGACTACTGAGGTTTGCTCCAGGGAAAGTCTGCCTAGAGAGAGTTGATGAACCAAGAGCAAAGGAAGCACAAGCAGGCACCAATCCTGCTTAACTCTGCCCCAACTCAGAGTCTATAGCTTGAAGCAAACCTTCCCCTGGGTCTCCAGCCCTCATAGCCCTAGCTCCTGCTGGGCTCTTCCAAGGAGAAGTGTCTAATCCCCATAACCACAGCAACAGGTTTAGAGACTCATCTGCACATCTTATCAGTGAAGGTCCACACACTTCAAGTATAATGGTAAAGCCAAGATTCTGTAGGCACTTCAACCTCCAGTCCTTCCCCCAGCTAGAGTTTCCTTCACAAATAGCAAAATGTGTTCAACACTTTACGATGCAGCAATACACACTAGATCTGTCACCAGCACAAGCCTCTGGTTGGCACAGTGTACATATCCCAGACTCCCAAAACACCCTATGAGGAACAATAATGGCACAGGAAGGTGTGTGAAAACTGATGTGTAAGCTGGAAGTCAGTGCTAGGACTACTACCCCCTTAGCCCCTCACACACCTGAGGCCAGTCACCATTGGGGAGCTGCTTCTCAAGCAGACACCTGACTCCTCTTTCCTGAGCAGTGATGTCTGGATGCCTGAGGGACGAAAAAGACAGGCTTAAATACACCTAACATGTGGCATAAACACCTACCATCATGGAGCCAAGCAGAAGAACAAAAAACCCCAGACACCCATACTGATGATGGGTAAATCTAAACAACCAGAGCACCAGAGACTCCTGCTGTGATCTTCCCAAGAACCCTCAGAAGTAGAGCATGTGCAAAATGGGGGATGAATAGGTGATGTCACTGATGGGTGGTCTATCTGTAAGAGGCAAGTCTTTCTTCAGGGCCCCACTCAGCCAGACAGGCTGCCAGCCAGCCTAGGGATAGGACATGTGGTTCCTGAAGCTGCCTCCAATCCAGAGTGACAGCCAAATAAAAGCTCAGCCCTATGGCTCCTTTACCTCTTCCCCACATCTGTACACAGTCTAGGCTACCTGCTCACAGTTGAGTATCCCTGGGATGTATGGCCCAAGGATGGGATCCTAGTGCCCTTACCTGACAGCCATTAAGCCCATCAGGGCCCAGCATGTATTATGGACCTGGGACCTAGCACTCTGCACATAACGCCGTTGCTCACAGGACTCAAAGTCTTCTCCCCAGCCTCCATCTTCCATCTGCTGGGACAGCAGGAAGTTGCAGGCCTGAAATACTTCTGTACAAGCAGCCCTGTGGAGACCATGAGACTTTAGACACCATTCCTTGGGAAGGTCTAGGCCCTCCAGGCTACCTTAGTGTCATAGGGAGAAGCCTGAAAAGGTGAAGTGGAGACAGGGTATACAAGCCTCCCAGAGCTCCTGGGCACAAAGGAAAATGTTCTGCAGCTGCATACACCCTTGTCTATCTGTGCAGACTGAGTAACTGGGTACATGGTGGCATAACTGGGTGGCATTTGGCTAAAATAATATCCATGCCCACCAAACCCACTGAATTCCAGAAGCACTGGATGAGGCAGCCAGAAACGGCATGAATCAAGATCTCTTTTCCTGAGTTTCTAGACCTTAGTCCTCTCTGACTCAGGATGAGGGTCAGAGATTTGGAAGACTATGAGGTGACCCCTAGGCCAAGGCTTACGAACCCAGGAAAATGTCCTTGAAAGTCACATTTTATAGAATAACGATCTTATCCAACTTTTAAAAAATGTTAAAAATTGAGTATCAAAGCAAAAACCCACCACGGCAGAGCATTATTGTCTAGTTTTATTGCAAACTAAACACAAGCTAGAGTCACTTGGGAAGAAGGAACCTGAATTGAAGAATTTTCTCCATCAGACTAGTAATATGGCCACACCTGTGAGAGACAGTTTTGGCTGGTATGGAAATGCTCAAGCTTACTGTGGGGGACACCATCCCTAAGGAGATAGCCTGGGCTGTATAAGAAAAGCTAGCTGAGCAGGAGGCAGAAAACAACCCAGTAAGCAGTGTTCCTCCATGGTTCTGTTTCAGTTCCTTCTGGAATTCCTACCCTGACTTCCCTCAATGATGGACTGTGACCTGGAGATGTAAGCCAAATAAATCCTTTCCTCCCCAAGTTGCTTTTGGTCAGAGCTGTTTCATCACAACAACAGAAAAGCCAACTAGGACAATTACCATAACAAAGCCCTCATTTGCCAGCACCTTGGCAGCTACACTCACCCATCTTGGTAGGTATATCCCATGCAGGCAAAAGCTTCCAGGCCAAACCAGGTGCCATAGGTAAAACAAACTCCCCAGGAGCTAGAGAGAGACAGAGGAGAATGTCAGCCTCGTCTTCCTTCCAAGTGAGAGTACGGGTACTCTGCCCAGGTACTGGGACAACCTCACAGTGGGCAGAACTGGAGTGGGCATTGTGGTACATGCCTATAGTTACAGCACTAACTATAAGACAGGAGGATTGCTAATTCAAGGCCTGCCTGGGATACAAAGCAAGATCCTGTCTCATAAAGCCAAAGACTGGCTGGGGTGGTGATACAGGTCTTCAATCCCAGCACTCAGGAGGCAGAGGCAGGCAGATTTCTATGAGATTGAGGCCAGCCTAGTCTACATAGTGAGTTTCAGGCTGGTTGTGGCTAGAGAGAGACCCTGTCTCAAAAAGACCCAAAAGAACCCCACCAAAACCAAAGACTGAGTAAGAGACAGAGAAGAGGTGGGGAAAAAAAGGGAAGGAAGGAAGAGAGGGAGGTAGGGAGACAGGGACTTCGGTTGTAATAGAAGTGCTCACATATATCCCAGCCAATGCTTAAAGTGGTACTGTCTACTTAGCTCAGCTACTGCCTCCTCCAGTCAGATACAAACGAACTGATAACACACAGCAGGGAGAAAGATAATCAAACTTAGACCACAGAATTTTTCCAATACAAAACACAACTGCTCCCCACAACACAAGCTCTCAGCTTAAGGAAAAGTTAAATATCAGCCAAAGAACATGATCCATCAGGAAGTCGCAGCAACTGAGCCTCCCAGGAAGATGGCTACAAGGTCAGACCCAAACCTCATGCACATGTTACCACCTGCCATCAATCCCTCAGCAGGTGGGCTCAGGAGCTTGCTCACCCCTCCCAGGAGCCATCAGCCCTCTGCTTCCTTCGGCAGAACTCCAGGCCTTGCTTGAGGGTCTCCCTGCAACACAAGTAGTTAAGTCAATGAACACTGCAGGCAAAATCACAATTCCTTCCCCAATTCTATCCACATCATGGTATTGGAAGAGTGAGAATGGTCTCCCCTAGAAATAGGTCAAAATAAATGTTCAAATAGGAAAAGAAAAGCAGCAGCTGTAAGACACAGAGGGGAAAACAGATTGTCAAAGTTCCAAAAGTTCCACTTTAAGATTTTAAACCCCAGTCAGACTGGCTAAGATCAAGAGAACAAATGATACCAAACATTGGAGAGGATGTGGGGAAAGGGGAACGCTCATCTATTGCTGGTGGAAGTGCAAACTTGTACAATCCCTATGGAAAGCAGTGTGGAGAGCTCTTAAAAAACTACAAATGAACCTACCATTTGACCCAATTATGCCACTCCTTGGCATATACCCAAAGAACTCATCCTATTGCAGAGACACTTGTACATCCATGTTTGTTGCTGCTCTTTTCACGATAGCTAATAGATGGAAACAACCTAAATGTCCCTCAACTGAGGAGTGGATAATGAAAATGTGGTTAATTTATACAATGGAGTTCTACTCAGTAGTAAAGAAAGATGAAATCATGAAATTTGCAGGTAAATGGATGGAACTAGAAACTGTTTTACTAAGTGAAGTAACAGACTCAGAAAAACAAACATGTTCTCCCTCATATGTGGATCCTAGCCCCAAATCCTTACAAGTAAGTACGTATCCAGACATAAGTGCAGAAACCTGGATAATGAAAAGGAACCAGGGAGGTAAAGGAAAAGAAAGAACCTAAAAGAGAAGAATGTAGGAAACAGATGTTAATAAAGGAGAAATGGATAAAAATGGGGTTATTTTAATGGGAGGGGTGAGAGAGGGTTATACAAGGAACCTTGGGGTTAAAGGGAAAGAAGGAGCTCAAGAGAGGAGAGACCATAGTAGAAGGGTATTATTAAGGGAGAAATGGGGAAACCACAGTGGAAGTGTTAGACAATGAGAAAGATAAATAATGCCTAGCTAGTTTAAAAAAAAAAGAAAAACAGAAGGAACCATATTAGTCCAACAACTACTGGCAAATTATACATAAAACTAGCTCAAGGAACATAATATATGTCTAGACAAGATTTATCAGAGAACATCTGGTTTTTGCCCAAGTTTTATCTACGCAGCACATGGTAATTAAAAGTACCAGACTGGTGGAACTAACCTTCTTGGACGTTTAAAAGCCATTCTTTGAGGCCTATACTAATCTGGTCAGAGGGACTTAAAGGACAGTTTTTTGCTCCTTGCCCTCCAAGGTCAAGTAAGTTCCAGAGGACTATGGAGCAACTCTCAAAATGTCCTGTGAGTCACCTGTCCTCTTGATCAAGGAGGCCGTGGAGACCCCACCAGATGGACTTGAACCAGTGTCCAGTCTAAAAAGAGGAGGGTCAACATAGAGGAAACATTTCCTGATTGCTTCCAAGTGAAGCCAGCCACGGTCAAGCAGGACCTTTGACTTATTTTCACATAGATGGAACTGGTAAAAGAAAGGAGCCAGGGACTCCTCTGAAGCCCATGTGACCTCTGAGGAACAGATCCTCAAACAACCTTAAGAGTAAAAATAAATTGGTTAATCTGGGCCAACTGTATGGTCTTAAGTACCCAAAAGGAAAGTAAAACCAAAGATTAAAGTGATCAGTATAATTCTCTAAGAGTCCATGTATATAGCTAAAGGCTACATAACAAGAAACAAGGCCAGACAGGCGATACCTTCCTTTGAGTTGTTGGCCAGAGTGGCCCAAGAGACTCCCAGACAGTAAGCCAGCATAGAAATGGGAAAATAAACAGCAGGCCCCAATCTTATCTAAAGGAATGTTAGCAACTGATTGCTGCTAGATGAGGACGAGCTGATCTTCCTAAAACAAGGAACTCTAGATAGGCTGACTAGATTCAGCGGATGGACTAGCACCGGGTAACGGCTGGGGGCACTGATAACACAGTGGACAGTAACAGGGATGACAGAGTATATAGGTTCCAGTTGGGAGGACTATGGGAGGATGCCATTTGGGATGCGGGATTGTTTATAAACAATCTAATAAAGATGAATAAGATTGTTTAGGATATTCTTATGAAATACACACAAAAAAAATCTATAAACAAAAAATAATATTAAAAAAAAAAGCCATGGGACTATCTTATAGCTTATAAAGAATCAAATCTGGGGTTGGAACGATGACTCAGTGGTTAAAAGTATGTGCTACTCTTGCAGAAGACCTAGGTTTGGTTCCTAGCACCCACATGGTAGCTAACAACCATCCCAATACCCTCTTTGTCTCAGTTATTGCATGCATTTGGTGCACTTACATGCAGACAAAACACTCATACATGCAAAATAAAAATAAAGAAAAATGATTTTTTTAAAGAAAAAAAAAAGAGAAACAAAAAAGGAGAACAGACTTCAGCAATGAGGTCCATGTTGGAAGTAGCTCCAAAAAGGATCAAAGCCACTGACAATAATAACATCAATGGCCTGGGTCTGAGCAAATCATATACAAGAATTACGTTAAAACAAAAACAAAAAAAACCCAGAGAGAAAATTACTGATTCAGAGGATCAAGACTATCCACCTACTTCTGAAGAACAACTAGCACACTGCAAGAGTGGCCTGGCCTCTGGTTCCCATGCCCAAGTCACCCTGCAGAGTGCCTATCCCAACCCATGGAGATGTTGAATAATAAATGTATACTGTCATGGCATGGTGGCACACAGCTTTAATCCCAGCCCTCAAGAGACAGAGGCAGGTGGATCCATGTGAATTCAAGGTCAGCCTTGTCTACACAATGAGTTCCAGGCCAGTTGGACCTACAGAGAAACCCTGTCTCATAAAGACCGGGAAAAAAAAAAGTACACTATCAAACACTGCTAGAAAGTGTGTAGCAGTACTGTCACTTAGCTACAAGTAACCAACATAAAAAGTGAAAGTTCAGTAAATATGAGCAATAAAGAATGACAAATTCATACAGTAAAAAAAGAAAATAAAACCTTGAAAACTTTGTGTAATACACTTGAAAACTCAGACAAGACATACAAGTTACTAAGAAACTTATCAAAACTGCCTCAAGAAACAGAGTGTCTAAGTAGTCCTGAAACTATGAGTCAAAAAAAAAAGTGGATCTCTGTGAGCTCAGGATCAACCTGGACTACATAGTGAGTTCCAGACCACCTGGGGCTATAAGGAGACCCCCGTCTCAAAAAGATAAAAAAGAAAAAAAAAAGTGAGATAGTTCAGCAAGCAAAGCTTACAGTCAATCCTCACAACTTGAGTTCTGAGTTCAGTCCCTGGAATGCACATGGTGGAAGGAGAGAACTGGCTCCCATAAACTGTCCTCTGATCTACACACACACCATGTCATGTGTGTATCCACATACATATACACACAAAAATAAGTACAATTTTAAAAAATTTATTTTAAAGGGGTTGGTGAGATAGCTCAGCAGTTAAGAGCACTGGCTGCTTTTGCAGCGGACCCAGGTTCAATTCCCAGCACCCACATGGCAGCTAAAAACCATCCGTAACTCCAGTTCCAGGGGATCTGATGCCCTCTTCTGACCTCTGAGGGCATTACATGACATGGGGTACACTTACATAATACATGCGGGCAATACACTCATACACATAAAATAAAAACTAAAATAGTTTTAAAAGTAAACATACCAGAAGAAAAATACTTAGGAATCTCAGAAGCAAATTCTACAAAACAATATTAGAAGCAAATTCTAGTTCATTGCAAGAAATGGGTGTGACTTGACAAGTAGGTTTTAGGCTCTTGTGAACTGAATACAATAGAGATGGGTCCAATACTAACTTAGGATTGCAAAATAGGTTTCATATGAAAAAAATATCTTAATAAAGCCTTATGAGGTGAAACATGCCTATAATCCCAGCACTTTTATTTAGACAGAGGCAGAAGGAGTCTCAAGTTCAAGGCCAGTTCGGGTTACATAGCAAGACCATCTCAAAAAAACAAATAAACAAGGTCAGGTGTGATGGTGCAAGCCTATAACCCCAGTATTTGGGAGGTAGAGGGAGGAGGACCAAGAGTTCAAGGCCAGTCTAAGACACATTAACTATGTGTCAAACAAAAAAGGAAAAGAAAAAGAAAAAATTTTAACAAGCTTCCTTTATGTTTTAAACAGTCTTCTAAAAGAAATAGATACATAACTAACTCAATAAAGGCAGAAAAATAATCATTTATAAACTAAGGAAGAAATACCTTTGCAGATTAGGAAGAGAAAACAATTTCAATAACCTAAAAAGCGATAACCACCCCAAACCTCCACCAAGTAGCATTCTTTTTTTGAAACAGGGTCTCCCTGTAGCCGTAGCTGGCCTAGAACTTGCTACATAGACCAGGCTGGCCTCGATCTCACAGAGATTCACCTGCTCTGCCTCTTAAACTCTGAGATTAAAAACAAGTACCACCATGCCTGGCCCAAAGTAACATTCCTTAATAAAGAAACAGTGAAAGTTTTACCTTTTAAAACATGTTAACAATGGGGGGCTAGAGAGATGGCTCAGTGGTTAGGAGCACTGCCTGCTCTTGCAGAGGACCTGGTTTCGATTCCCAGCACCCACATGGCAGCTACGAACCGTCCTTAACTCCAGTTCCAGGGGAATCTGAAGCCCTCTTCTGACCTCCGCGGCACTGCACAACATGAGTGCACTCATAGACATGGAGGCAATACACTCCTACACATAAAAATAATAAATAAAATTTAAAAAAAAAACACATGCTAACAATGGAATCACTACTACTTCTAAGCTGAATGCTTGAGGTCTCTCTCAGTCAGGCAGTCAAACAAGAAAGGCAAAACTACAGGCCTTATATAGCTAAATGGACTATTTAAGGAAAATGAGGTTTTTTCCTCTTTTTAAAAAAATATTTTATTATTTTTTTAGCAAAGTATAGGGTAGGAGTTTATTTATAGAAGAATAGGTGCCCCACATTTGGAAAATAAGAATTTTAAT